CAGTGTCTCCTCACACGTAATGGCTAGGATCAGACCTAACCCCACTGGCCTCTAACGAGAGAAAGGACAGGAGCTGCTGAGCTTGTTGTCCAGGCCTCTGTCAGGTCCACAGAGAAAGGACTGGTAATGGTGACGTTTCAACATGAAGAGAATATTAATGTGGCAAACAACCAAGAGGTAATAGCTAGTTTCTAGGTTAAAAAATCAATATATATATTTATATATATATGTATTATAATAAAGTTTTAAATACAAAGTGCTTTTTATATATCGAGAATGATACAGTGTTAATGAGTAGATCCCTGTTTTGTAATCTTGATTACAAGAGTTAACTGGTGAGAACTTTCTTTCCTCTTTCTAGACAACGTTCAACAAGTAAACACCTGGTGGTAGAAGCTTAAGGATCAGAGGCCATTGCCAGCGATGTCTGTCACATCAGAGCAAAACCAAACTTTTAAAACAAAATTTCATCCCAAATCCAAGAAAAGTTATTTTTATTTTCAGGAAAAAACGGTTTCCACTTGGAAGGAATAGACCAGTAAGTTTATGGAAAAGTTGACATGGAGTAGCACCCTGTCCTACCCTGGTGATAATTTCAGGTCTATTACAGAGCTTAAAAGCATCCTGAACACAGGCTTGCTTTTCACCCTGAAACATCTGACTGACTGGAGAAAAGGTCTCAGAATAGCTGCCCATCTTGTTGCTTTTGGTAGGTATAGCTAGCTATGTGGACTTGTAAATTTATGCGGCTTTGTCTATAATTTGGGAGCATGAATCTGTAGACTACTTTCTAAAATTAGGATCCTTCTTCCCCCCTTTTAAACACATCCCAGCACTCCCAAAAGACCTGGCAGCCTTAGCTCATGTGACCCTCTCAGGGAATAAATCTCTCCTATCGATGTAGTTCCAAGACTCCTCTTTTCTTGTGTAGTTTCTTTCCCTTCACTGTGACCTGTCACTCACAATTCTGCTATTCCGCAACTCTCACTCTGACAGCTGGGGGGAGTGTCATTGCAGCACTCCACTTACTCATGAAGCTCACAGGTCATTCTCAGCTGTGACTTGTAGCTCCTTCCCACTAACTGGCCACTGACTGACCTCTTTGGGAAGAACCATCTAAGATAGAGCAGAAGGCTACAGCAGCCAGTGGGGCCGTGGGCAGTCACAGCAGGCCAGATGTCTACTAGCCGTAGAGCAGATCCCACTGTGTGGATGCTACAGTTAAAACATAACGGATTTGGGACAGCAAGCCAATTAGAAATATCTATCTCTGGCACACTAGAGAATTATAATTAGATACAATTGTTCAAACTAAATGCTAGTACTAAATACAAAATTCTGCCTTATCAAGAGTCTGAAACACACTGTGACAGTGGCGTCTTACAGAAATCGAAGCTTGTACCCTAAGCTGTTTTACACTTCAACTGTCACCCTCTTACTATCTCCTTAGTTTTAGTTAAAATACCCTTTTAGAAATAAAAACCAGATGAAAGCTCTGTTAATCAATTTTGCATCCTAAGAATCACATTGTTTGTAGCTTTTACATAAGTAGCATTTCATTCAGTAAAGCTGCTACCAAAACAAATCCACATTACCTAAGTATCTATAGCAAGAGCAAACTAAGCTTCCATGACCATAACAAGTGATCAAAACGGCTACCACCTGAAAGGGAACTGGTGGGCTAGCGTCCAGTTCCAAGTGCAGGTATCTCCATCACCAAGTCCACCTGCCCCAATCACAACAAGCCTAAAGGTGTCCCCGGCCAGCTGGAAGGGGGGTTCATTTACCCCCATTACCTACTCCAGATCTGGACTAGAACATACAAATCTGAGGAACTGGATTTTTTTAATTGGCCTACTTAGAACTGGTCTTTCAGAAATATCTTCCATTTTTTTAAGCTTCTCTCATAATAGCAAGTAGCACACATCATCTGTGCCCAGATTTGCATAATTACCATCTTTTATTTTGGTGCCTGCCACTCAAGGGCCAGATACTATTTTTAGTTAGCCTCAGTCGTATTCTGCTCAGCCTTTGCAGCTTCGTAAGACTTGGTACAAGAAGTCACGTGCCTGTGGAAACTGTCCCTCCACATAAATCTCTTTGCACAGATATTACACTCGTACGGCTTTATGCCTGTGTGAATTTTCATGTGGCCCACGAGGTGATGCTTCATTTTGAATTTCTTACCACAGACACCACAGCCATAAGGCCGAAGACCGAGATGCATGCTCATGTGGCGGTCTCTCTGGCTCTTGTGAGTGAAACTTTTCCCACACTGACAAGGATACAGCTTGTCAGCGGGCGAGAACCCCAAGTGGGAAGCTTCTTCTTTAATCCCTGCTACCATTTCGATATTCTCACTGTAGCCGGCTGGTAGGGCAGCCTCCTGTCTGTGCCCAATTAGATTGCCCTCTGACCTCTCTCCAGAAAACTCTTCCATGGAAGATCCATAGAAATCCACCTGCTCATCGTAATTGCTTTCATCAGCCTGTTCGTCAAATTCTGCTTCCACTTTTTTCTCCACGATGTGAAAGTCTTCCTCTACTCCCGAAGGCTGGGCCGAGTGCTCCGCCTGCATGTTGTTGATGGACTCGGTGACCTGGTGCTCATCGTAGGGCGCGTGCACGTCCACGCCCTCGCACGCCTGCTCAAAGCGCTCCGGCTTCACGTGGATCCAGCGCTTGTGGGCCATTATGCTGGGCTTGCTGTACAGAGGCCGGGTGTAGTGGAACTCGGCACTGTCGCTGGCCGCCTCCTCCCCGTCCTGGCTTGCCATTTCCGTGCTCAGCCGGTCGTGCTCTGTGGACGAGTTGCTGGGAAGGTATTCGTGCTCAGTGAGCTGAGATGACAGCTCGTCTTTGGTGCTCTCCTCTTCATTCTCTCCATCCCTCAGTTCCTGGGATTTGGGGAAGTCGGTGTGGCTCCCAGAGCCCAGCTCGAAGCTCTCTACCAGGCCATTGTAACTACTGCTGCTCGGAGACTGGTGATCGCTGCTATGGTTTAGCTTCTGACAAAGGACGGTAGGGTTTCCCTCTAAAACCTCTGTGCACTTGTCCACCACATGCCACATCTGGAGGAAGCTTGCTGCTGTTAAGTAACTAACAATTTCTGGAGCGGGCATTACGAGACGCCCCGTGTAACTGGACAGGAGAATGTTCTCAAACACTCTTGGGTTCATCACATCAGGTAAAACAATCCTCCTGCTGTTTTTCAGAAGCACCTGGTCACAAAAGTAGGGCGAACTGGCAGCAAGAACAGCTTTGTGTGCCCGGAAAATGTGGCCCTGCACCACAATGGAGACATCACATAACTGTCCTTGCTGGCGCTGCTGGTTCAGTTTCTGCAGAATGGTGCTGGAAAAATCAGGAAATTCTACTCGAAAAGAGTTTGTTCCAGGCTCCATTTCATCACAAATCTTGTTCAGTGCTACAAAAGAAAGAAAAATGAGTGCTAGTGCCATCCCAGAGAGAAACTTATCGATCACTAAGAAAACTGAGGCGGGACCCACAGTGCCTCTGGGCATTGGTGGGTGGAGCATTCATTCCCTGTAGGGAGCAGCTATAGGGTTAAGCCTCTGACTGACCTGTTGGCAAAGCCACAAACAAGTCCCGGGCTTAGGGGGCACAGCCCTCTTAGCATAATTAGGCTTGACCTTATGACTCTCTCTAGATCTTATCTGGGTAGCTAATGGGCTGAGGGAGATGCACCAAGTGCTGCCCAAACAAGTGAAACTCACAAGAACACTGTAACTATGGTGACCACTACCTTGTTTACCTCTGGCTAAAAAGAAAGGCTCAACTTGCTATCTAGATCTCTCTCTGTGGCCCTAGCCAGGCACAGGAGATCCACCTAGTCCTAGACCCAGCTTATTCTGTCTTTTCTACATCCTTCACTGCACCCCCTCAGGCTCACCGAACCCTTGGCGGTGCTGGCACGGCACAATTCCGCAGAGCAAGGCTAGCAGGTATGAGTGTGCCAAGAGTAGGAACCACCCACCACTCATCATGGTATTAACTCTTCATTTTGCCTGTGTCTGAAAACCCAACAGATTTATCAGTGATATTTATCCTATCACTCTAATCTATATCTAAGTATTGCTAAATACCAGGTATGAGATAAAAGTATAAGATAAAAGAACCAGACAACCAAAGCAAAGATTGCAAGTCAACAATGAGAGATAGGGAGAGATGCCAAGAGAAGAAACGAATGTTTCTTGAGTATATAATGTCCCTGGTATGTAATTACTATATATGAATACACCCATTTTTCAATTAATCTTTATAATGACTCTGCAAATATAGGGATTGATATTCAAGTTCAATGATTTCAAGCAACTATGCCAAGCTCAAAATAGAAGTTTTTATTAAGATGGGGCTTGAATCTAGGTTTCTATGACTCCAAAGCCTATGCTATTTTCCCTATCACATCATTCTGCTGCTTCTTAGAAGATGCCAAAATACCAAGTAGTCATTCATAATTTTAAAAGGTAAGACAGTGTTTTAAGAATGAAGTATTAGTTGATGGTTTATACCTCTTAACATGTTTCATCATAACTTAAAACAAAAATAGACCAAGGAACAAACTATTTAGATACTTGCAGTTTCAAAAAGGAAAGACAACTATGTAAAAGTATAGATTAGAAGTATGTAAACAGATTCTCAGCTTGACCTCATCACTGTAGAATTTTGTTTTTAGCTAGCTGGAAAAAAACATGGGGAGACGGACTAATACACACGAGTGGGATTAGTTCCCTCATAAAAGAGACACCTGGAATTCCCTGTAAGGACAGGACAGGGAATTCTATCGATGAACCAGGGAGTGACACTGAATTTTCTGCCCCCTTGACCTTGGACTTCCCAGCCTCCAGAACTTTGAGGAATAAATTTCTATTTATTTTGTTACAATAGCCCAAGTGGACTAAGACACCACATCAGCACAAAAAGAGCTAACTCATTTTGTTCAAATGGGTATTAGTTTCCTGCTATATGGATTTATCATAACTTAAGCAGTTCTCTTCTTACAGAATTTTAATTGTCCAGTTTGAAATGATGAGCAATGCTATAATGGACATCTGTGCATAACTATCTTGGCATATCTTTGAAATATCCATAGATTAATCTCTACCAGTGGAATTGCGGGGTCAAAGAAAGGGCTGTGCATTTGACATTCTGATATGTATTACCAAACTACTTTCCAGAAAGGTTGCACCACGCCACACTCCTACCCACAGTAATGACAGTACCTACTCCCCCACACTCTACCAACATTGGATGTTATCAAATAAGATCTTAAAAATTTGGCAAATCACCAAAGTGACTAATCTATGATTCACTGTTGTTTTGACCAACATTTCTTTAATTATTATATAAGATACTCTTTACTCATGTTTACTGGTCATTTGTTTTTCCTATAAATTATCAGTCATATCCTTTGCTCAAATAAATTGGGCATTTCATCTTACTGATTTGTAGTTTTTTTGTAAATTCATGAAATTAACTTTGAAATGTATGTAAATTACCCAATTGTTACTTTTATGGCCCCAGGGCTTTGTGTTAGACATGGAAAAGCATTCCTAACACCAAGGTTATTTTTAAAAAGTAACCAAAAATTATTTAGGCTTTTTCTTGGTACATTTTTTAAAAAGTATGTTAAACCTTTAATATATAAAGTTTATTTTGGCATAAAGAGAAATACTGGGATCCAGCCCTTTCCCCTCCAAAATGGCTAGCCTACTTTTCCAACACTATCATTGAATATCCACCTTTTCTTCAAAATTCACGTGTGTGTTGTAGAATTTTAAATGACTGACAATAGACTTTTATTTTTTTTAAGTATATTTTATTGATTTTTATAGAGAGGAAGGGAGAGGGATAGAGTTAGAAACATTGATGAGAGAGAAACATCGATTAGCTGCCTCCTGCACATCCCTTATTGGGGATCAAGCCTGCAACCAAGGTACATGCCCTTGACCGGAACCGAACCTGGAACCCCTCTTCAGTCTGAGGGCGATGCTCTATCCACTGAGCCAAACCAGTTAGGGCTGACAATAGACTTTTAAAAACAGTGCTACAAACATAAATGCCAAAGCACTGTTATAGAAAACTAGAGGCCCAGTGCACGGATTTGTGCACCCTGAAAGGAAATTAATTAGAAGGTGGCCAGTGGGGTGGGACTGGGCGAGATGGGCTGAACACACCTTGCAGCCAACCTCCCGTGGTCCCTCCTCGGCTGGCCACACCTGGGGTGGCACCGGGCTCGAAGGGCATCTGCAGAGTGAGTGGAGTCCCTCTGGCAGGTGGAGTCCCTTGGCCTGGCCTGCGGGGATCGGGCTGAAACCAGCAGTCCGACATCCCCCGCTGGACAGCTCCTGCATTGAGCATCTGCCCCCTGGTGATCACTGTGCATCATACCTACCGGCATGTCATACCTACCATCTCACCTAGTCGCTTAGCCTTTTATATATATAGATGGTGGAGTAGAAAGCTCTAGAGGTCAGTTCCTCCATAAAAACAATCAGTAAGCTGTTAAAATTATCAGAATCAACTATTTTGGAACCCTGGAATCCAATCAGACACTTATAGTAACTTATAGCCTCTCCCTTGAAGAAGGGAGAGGCAGCTGAACCTTGCTAAGAAAGCAGTGTGCCCACATCAGCTACAATCCCTTCCTCAGCCCTGCCATAGCCTGGGGGACATTGGCCCACATTCCTACAGTGCTGGCTGATGCCAGGGTGGACAACAGGGCCATGTCCTCCAAAAATTGAGGGTTTTTGCCCCTGGCCAGTTGGGTAGACCCACACAGCTTTGTTTGGATTCCTCAGGTTGCAGTGGCTTCCCCGGCAGCATCTATCATAAGTTCTTAAAAACAACAACATATGTTCCCCTGCATTCCTCTGGGTCAAAACATTTAAGGAAATCTTTGTTAAGTCACAGTCTGACCACATAGATAAAGCAACAGAAACTTCAGTGACTATATGCAACAAGGAAAACTATAGACTTTGGAAAATAATTTGGAAAAAAACACTGTTCAAACAGGTCACTGCAGCCCTCAACGAATAATAAAGGAAATTGGCTCGGAGGGGAAGAATCTATTTCAAGAGCCACCACATTAGAATACTCAAAATGTTCCAGTTCTTAACCAAAACTAAAAACTACACAAAGAAAAAGGAAAATATGGAGTATTCACAGGGAAAAAAGAAGCAGAAATTCCAGACATTGCAAGCACTCGTTAAAGATGTTAAATCAATCATCTTGTGTATCAAATTGCTAAAAACAAAACGAAAACCCTATATGACAAAGAACAAAAGGAAATCAGGGAACAATGTCAATGAAGAGTCAGAAATTATAGAAAGGAACCAAATAGAAATTCTGGAACTAAAGAGAATAATAGCTGTGTTATAGGCTGAATTATGTCCCTTCCCCATTCCTATGTTGAGGCCCTGTAACCTCTGTACCCCAGATGAAGCTGTATTTGGATCTAAGGTCTTTAAGAGGCAATTACGTTAAAACGGGGCCGTCAGGGTGGGCTGTAACAGAATCTGACTGGCCTGCTGGTAAGAAATGAAATTTGGACACAGTGGGAAAGTGGCCATCTGCAAGGTAAGAGGTGCTCAGGAGAAACCAAATCTTCTAACACCACAATCTCAGACTTCTGGCCTCTAGAATTGTGTGTGTGTGTGTGTGTGTGTGTGTGTGTGTGTGTGTGTGTGAATTCTGTTATTTAAGTCACCTAGTCTGTGATGTTTTGTTATGGCAGACCTAGGAAACAAATATGAGCTGAAATTAAAAATTCATAAAAGGAATTTAATGGCTGATTTAAGCAGGCAGAAGAAAAAAAATCAGCAAATTCAAAGATAAAGCAAATGATATTATCCAGCCTGAGTAGTAGAATGAAGAAAAATGAACACAATCTGAGGCACCTGCGGGACACTATTAAATGTACCAACACTAACATGCACATCATGGGACTCTTAGAAGAAGAAAGGGTAGAAAAGATATTTAAAGAAACAACAGTCAAAAACTTCCCAAATTTGATCAAAGACACACCTACACATCTAGAAGCTCAACAAACTCCAAGCAGGATAAAATGAAAGAAATCACATGAGATACATCGTAAGTCAAATAGTAGAAAGCCAAAGACAAAGGATAATCTTCAAAGCACAAGAAAGAAGCAACTCATCACGTAAAAGGGCTTTTCAGTAAGATTAACAACTAATTTCTCATCAGAAACTATGAAGGCAGTGGACCACATTTAAAGTGATAGAAGAAGGCAGTGTATGACATTTAAAAAGCTAGAAGAAAAATCTGTCAACCATGAATTCTATATATGGCAAAACTATTCTTTCAATAATGAAGAAGAGGCAAGCCCTGGATGGGTAGCTCAGTTGATTAAAGCATCATCCCAATATGCTAAGGTTGCAGATTCAATCCCCAGTCAGGGT